CATTTGTGGAACCTTTGGGCTCTGATAGCAGTTGTCACTCTAGACCTGGCTAGGATCTCTTCCTTCAGCTGGGGGTATTCAGTGGCTGCCTCCTTGGGCATGTTGAAATAGGTCTTCTGGGCCTCACCACTCAGAAATGGAACCAGGATGCTGGCTCACTGGGATTGGGGTCAGCCTTTCTGTAGCCCTGTCCTTTCAAAGGCCAGGAGGTATGCCTCCACATCATCCTTCCCCATCATCTTCTGGAGGTAGTTGTTGGCCTACAGGGATCAAGTCCTGTCTTGGCTGTACACCTGGGTGGTCAGGATCTTTATCTGCATTATCACCTCTTGCAACGTGGCTCAGTCTTGGATGGCCTGGCTCATCATCAACTGATTATTTTCCTGCTGTAGCCATGCTGATTTTTGCTGGGCAGCCATCTGAACTCTGGTAGCTTTTTGCTGTGCTGTGGTGACTTGCACAAGTGCCTTTACTACATCCTCCATCTTTCTTTTCTTCCTTCTTAAGGGGCGGTTTTAGCCTACCGTGGGTGGGTCTGCTGCCGGGCCTCAAGGTAGCAGATGGTCCCACTCCTGACACCTGGCCCTTAGATAATTTATAGCAGCCCCAGCCCAGCTGCTTCCATTCTGCCCCTGATAGCTCAGGTCAGCTGTTCCTGGCTGCCCTGAAGTAATCCTCTTCTCATTAACCAGAACCATTTCTGCTTTTTAGAGCTGCCTCTTTCTCTGATCTAGCCCTCTAACCTGCCCTGTTACAATACAAACGTAGGAATGGCCATGCAGGATCAGATCAGCCTAGTATCTCATTCTGACTGTGGCCAATATCAGGCACGGCAGAAGACAGTGTATTAAACTTGGTATAGAACAATATAGAACATAGGTAACCGGCTCAAGGCTCTCTTTCTAAACCAGTTTGGTTAGCTGCTGGCATATGCTTTGAATCCGGAAGACATTTTTTATAGAAAGCATATAAATCTATAATAACTATATATGTTCTCATCAACCATACAGATAATTAATCCTTTTTGAATCCTGCTAAACTCTTGACCTTAATGATATTTTGTGGCTCTGGTTTCCACAAGTTAATTATCGATTTTAGTAATTTTCTTTTATCTTTTTAAAATGTGTTGCCTTGCAATTTCATTGGATGTTCCCTTGTTCTTTTATTACCACAAAGGGGTAAATAGGAATGCCCAATTCACTTGGTGTCCATTCACTATATGAGGTTATTAATCTCCACCCTAAAAGGAACTGTTCATTTCTTTCCATCCACTTGTCTCTTGTTTATCAGGTGTTTTACTCTTCTGCTTTTAATTATTGCTTCAACCAATTCATTTGTTAATGAAGTAATTCTCATTCATCTGTAATTGCCAATCAGCCCAAAACCTCTTTTAATGTTTTTACCTACAAGATTTGCTTTTATTCTGTATTTCTAGTCTGGTAGCAGATTTCAGTGAGAAATTGCTAGTGTTTGCAAGCAGCTAAACAGCTTGATAAAGAACCTTCAGTCCTGTCGGATGTCTCACACATGTTCTTAGTAACTTGTTGCTCCTCAGCTGAGTTTTTTTTCTAGCATCTCCTCTTTTGACACTTTAATCAGTGACAATGTCTCCTCTTTGCTAGTTGAAAAAATAATCACCAAATAATTTATGACTGGAGGAAAGAGTTTGTTTACCGTTATATAAAACAGCTGAGGGTATGTATGTTTTCCCTGCAACTTGTGTAGACATCCCTCAGCTAGCTACTGCCTGAATGACAACAGTAATGAAGCAGCAGCAGCAGCATGGCTGGCAGCATAGGCCGTCCAAGTATGCACATGATCCAGGAGATGGTCTCTGGCAGCTAGCCCATGCTGTCCTGGCTTCACTGATAGTGTCATTCTAATGAGCTGGCTGAAAGCTGACTCTGTTACATATACATTTGCTGCAGTCACACCTTGGATTGCAAACTCAGCGTTAGGAAGTGCTCAGTTAACTGCCATTAACTTTGCTGAAATCAGGATTTATATTCCTACCCTGCCACTAACTGACCTTATTAGGTAACCACAGCCCCAATGTGTGTCTACAGTCTTTTCCCTTCTCCTCAGGGTTGTGGGCAGTGCTGCTGACACTGGTGAGTGGGGGAAAAAAAAGGAATAGTTGACGCAGAGCCTGGCGATTTAAAAGGGCCCAACACTCTTGGTCATCACCACAGCAGGGGCAGCTGGAGCCCTGGGCCCTTTAAATCAGTGCCAGAGCCTTACACAGTGTGCTCTGGGTGGCATTAAGGGCTAGCTGGGTGGGGGAGCACAGCATGGTTCGGGCAGCACTGAGGCCTGGTGGTAGGATTGAAAGCTTTATTCTTTTTATATTTGTATTTTAGTAATGTAGTCTAATAATATCAATAATATAACATGGCAATAATATAACAATATACATATATATCAATATACATTTAATATTGTATTGAATTAAGTCCTTTTAGTTAAATGATTATTCCTTTGTCCTAAAAGTGAGTTTAGTAAATGGGCCTAAGTGGAAAGACAGTTCTGTGTCTGTGTTAATAAGATTAGAAAAATGTTGAAGGTCGAAGCCTTAATTGCTTGATTTACAACGCCTCTTTGCTTTGCCCAATGCAGATCTATGTAACCTCGAAAGTCTTTGTAACATTGCTCATGTGTGTGAGAGGAGTGTGAATGTGTTGAGATAAGATGCAAAGTTATATTGCTTAGAACCAGAAGACCAAAGAAGGGGGGTGAGCATGGGCGATGGCCAGAAGACGAGACGACCTGGCTGCAGAGAAGCCATCTATAACCTTCGATGTGTACCCCCTACTCACAAGAGGATTGGCAGATTGAAGAGCCTTGAAGCAGAGAGGGCACCCCCAAAAGATGATTGATTACAGGATGAGCTTTGGAAGATGTTTGTGAACGACTGACATCAACAAGATAACATTCCAGTCACAGGCTGACAGAGCGGAATCCATGGATTTCAACAGAGAAAAGGATTATGAAAGCAATGTGCTTTGCTATGGAACTTAGGGTTTGTCTGCCACCATCCTCCAGAGGAGTATTGGGTTGACCCTGCTCCCCCTGTGTTCGATCTAGGTGGCCACTAGATTAACACAGACTCTGGACTGGTAACTACGACATCATCTGGCAAGACTGTGTATGCATGATGTTTTGTGTGAGTGATTGAAAAGCATATGGAACTGTTGCATTCTCAATAAATGCAGCGTACTTTTTTTTCCCTTATAAAAGATCTCGTGTGCTTCGTTTAAGCATAACACTGGCTGCCCCAGCCCAACCCCTTCTTCCTGAGGTCCTGCCCCTTCTGGGGAGCCAAAGACAAGACATCCTCACTTTGCACAGGGCTTGGCAAATCACATTGTCCTGGGCCTGAGTATGGGTTCTGGGTTCACCTGGTCCTCTACCCATGGAGACTCCAGCTAATGAAGAGAACAGCAAGGGCTAGTTCTTTGTGAAAATATTTAACACAGTCTTATACAGAGCAAACAAAAATGGAATAGCCATCACAATCCCCAGGAGTAATAACATAGTAACTGGGGAATAATTAGACATGGGGAATAGAGGATAAGGGCCTTTGCAAAAGGAAATTAGGATAATAAGATAAAAACTAACACTACATAAGTCTACCCCCACCACCTTTGCAGCCAGTACATTCCATTGGAAAATAATTAGACTCTATTATGACTGCCTGGCCTGGCACTGGAATGAACCCTTGTCTCCTATTCCCTGGACTCCATACGTCTACACAGCAAACAGTATAAAAAAAAGTACAACAGCAACTTTCAGGGCCTGGGTTTACAGACTTGGCCTGGTGCTATGGTGCTAAAAATAGCCCTGGAGATGTTCCCACTCAGGCTGGAGGTTGGTTCTGAAATTGAACCTCCTCCCTCAGCTGGAGTTTGGGCTCCGAAGCACAAGGCAGAATATCTACAAATCTGTTCTTAGCACCCTAGCACGAGACCCAAGCTGTAGACCTGGATACTGACACTTGCTGATACTTTTTCTTTTGTCAGTGCCTCTGCTCAATCCCTCCAAAACACAACTGCTAAGCTGACAGCTCATCTTCCTGCCTCCATGGAATCTTTCCACTTCTTCTCCCATCCACACTGGATCAGATTTAAACTCTTTCTTCCTTCCTATGCTCTACATAATTCTTCCCCTTTCCTGCTTCTCCAGCCTTCTCCCTTATTACATTACCAACTTCCATCCACTAATGGTGTCATTGGATATGCCCAGGAGTACTGGAGCCTTTTGCTCATGCCATTCTTTATGATTGGAACACCCTCCCGCCCCCTCCACCCCCCATTCATTGTGTTCTCATTTAGGCTTCCCTCAGCAAGGTATTTTAACATGTGTATGACTTTAAGCATGAGACTGATGCTTTGAAGTCAATAAAACAATTTACACCAGCTGAGGATCTGTCTGGATAGTATGACCCATATCTGCTGATGTATCTTGCTGAAGCAGGGCTTCTGTCATCCGAATTCTCTTTCATCCCTTTGTGCATATTCATCATTCAGCACCTTGTTGTGAAAGCAGGCTCTTTGCTGGCCAGGCCTCTTGCGCGTATTGCCATCCGAGCAAAAGGTCAACTTCCCCTTGATGAAAAACCCTTACACTATGTAACTTAAAGATCAGCGAAGAACAGGAACAAAAACCAGACCTGAAAAGTTCATGTAAAATTTGTGCTGGTTGTGCTGACTGTGCCATGCCCGATAAGGCAGAAAAGAAAAAAACAGGAAACCATCTCACCCCCTTATTCCTGTCACTTAACAGACAGGGTCTGCTAGCCTATCACAAAAAGCACGCAAAAGCTTTCTCTATAAAACAGCTTCCCCTCCTGTATCAAACTGAGGAATCCCGAATAACCATTGGAAGGCAGAATATGAGCCAGGTCCGAGGACTGATCACCCGAGGGCCACCTCCCGCTCACCGAACCAAATGAGTTCCTGTAGAGCATAGCGTATACCAAACATAACGTATACCAAATATGTTGTTGTTGTTGTAGTTTCTGTGTCTGTTAAATGTAAGTATTGTTATTTGAAATTGTTTAAAGGTATTGTTAAGTAGTAGTGTTAAAAGTTTTAGAAAAATGATTAGTCTTATAAGTAAGACTGATGTAAATGTAACTGTTAATAATCCCTAGTCCCTTGTTAACAACTATTGGGATTTAGAGAAACCTCAAGGAATTTTCTTTACTGTATTGCATTTTGGCTATTGGTCATTCTAATAATTATTTGGTGCCTACGTATGTAAGAAATTGATAAAATAATAATTTATACGTAGAAGCCCTTTAATAAAAGTTTAAAAGATATTTAATATTAGTTTGCCTGTTTCTGCGCCTCCCCGGGGCTAGCCACATTTCCGAACCTTTTACTTTAAACTACACTTGTAACTACTAGCTAAATGTTTTTACCACGAACCTTGAAACTACTTTTCTCCTTCTAATGGATGGGTCAGTTCTATTAATTATTGAAGGGAACTCCACTTTGGGTACACAGTTTATGTTTCCCATCCCTTGTTACTTAATATATGCCACTTCAAAGATTGCTTTGAACCTGGATTGATGTTAACGATGTCAGAACCTTTCTGCAAACAGCTTGGTGAGAATAAAGTGAATGTGCAGGGAGGCAGTATTGTTCCCGGCAGGGGGATGTTTGCTGTCTTTGTTTCAGTGACAGACAGAAGGTCCCACACCTTTGACGGGAATTGTAATGTTCCTCTATTTCCCTGTCATTTTTATGTCTGTCAAATCTGAGTTCTTTCAAGTGGTGTACAGACAGTGAGTCAGAACTCTGTTATAAATGACTAAGATACCTGGCTGGCCAAGTTATTAGCATAACAAGCAGCTAGGTAAGGTATCAATGCAAGTTAATGTAGTATTTTGACTTTTTTTTGTCCCCATTTTATACCTGATGCTCCAAGTCCCTAATTTAATATATCTGAAAAAAAGAATGTTCACAAACATTAAAAATTAGCCAAAGTCAACTTGCTAGGTTTCCCCTCCTCCAACAAGCTGTCACAAATTGTGGTTTATCAACTGAAACAGAGTGGGGTTTACAACCAGCAGCCATGTTTTTGCCTGACACACATTTCCTGATTGTCTCTGTAGTGGGTTTCCATCTCTACTGCTGCAAATCAAGTAGGAAATGCACTGAAGATTCTTCTTGAGGCAGGAGAAAATTGCATCAAGGTTTAATATGAGTCCAACTCTGAAGCCACTATAGAAATATACTATGGCAAGCCTGCTAACAGGCTGCTGATGCCCTATGGGGAATAGTAAAAGAAATTTGCATTTAGAAAATAAAACTGATATCCAGTTCGTAAATACATCTTGAATAATTTGCACCAATTACACAAATGAGGGTCTTGATATTAAAAAACAAAAACAAAAACACAAAAAAACCTACTGAAAAGGGATGCACCTGCCGAAGTGGAAAATGCAAATAAGGAGGAAAAAAATTGGGATTCACAGCCAATTTATGTTTCTTATTCATGTAGAAGAATATCCTACTCTGTGAGAAGTCCCAGTGAAATCAATAAGAATCTAGCCCTAGGACTCTGGAATGTGGAAAAGCAGATACTATGGTACAGTACATAAGAGTTTTCTCTTCTTTCTTTTGTCATTCTGGGTGCGTCTAGACTGGCAAGATTTTGCCAGCTGTCTACACTGGCCACTTGAATTTGTGCAAGAGCACTGACTTTGTAATGTACAATAACAGTACTTCTTGCGCAAATACTTTCACGCTCCCGGTCGGGAAAAAGCCCTCTTGCTCAAGAATACTTGCGCAAGAGGGCCAGTGTAGACAGGGAAGAACTGTTTTGTGCAAAATGGCGATTGGAGCTTTCTTGTGCAAAATCGCGTCTAGACTGGCCACGGATGTTTTTGAGCAAAAGCACTTTTTGCGCAAAAGCATCCGTGCCAATCTAGATGTGCTTTTGCGGAAATACTTTTAACAGAAAAACTTTTGCATTAAAAGTATTTCCTCAAAATCATGCCAGTCTAGATGCAGCCTCTCTAAATAGTTAGCAGAACTTTTAAAAATAAAGTATATATACATTGTCATAAAGCTTAAAACCTGAACCTTCGAATTTTTTGAAGCATGAAGGAGCTTTGGTGGTACAAGATACCAGTTATCAAAAGCCACTGATTTTTTGCAATGAATATTCACAGGAAGAAACAGCTGTTTTAACAAAGATGATGTATAGTTAAATTTGGATATTCATAACAGCAAATAAGCCTTCTGTAAAAAAAAAAAAACTGATGGCATTAAAATCCCTGGCTTAAAAAAAAGTGTGACTTTGTCACAGTTGAAAACTTGGAAATTCAAGTAAACTGAAAGCTTGTGACAATTTTGTTTTCATAGGTGTTGAGAATATTTTCCCCACGAAGCTCAAGATGACCTTTTTGCTCCCCACAAAGGCAAATATACAGTGAATAACCCATCTATCTGTTCAGGCTTGAAACAGGAATATTAGAGGTGATTGGCTTAGATCTTGCCATTTAATAGGGTTAATGGGATGAGTAAGAAGAAAAAGTTAAGGAATAGAGTCCTTGAGAGACAGGTTTTGGAAATAGCCTGTCCTCCCTGTCTCCCTTCACCTCATCATCATTAGAGGGCATATACTGACTGCATTGCAGCAGCTGATGATCTTGTCCAGGATGTTCATTTGTCCTGCTTTATTCAGAACTGCCCCAGTTTAGAAAGAATGAAAAGTGTCTCAGGTCACTGTTATTTAGGATTAGATAAGTGGCTTTCCCTGAAAAGTCAAGTAGGTGTCGATGCAGGGCTGTCCTTCTAGAGTCTGAATGAGCAAGGTCACTTCTGTTTACCTCCTACCTCTTTTAATGGGACCAGGGGAAGCAAAATCACGAGTCAAAACTTTGCATACACTGTAGTTCATGCCTTGAGAGAAGGCGTCAAACCTTGGATTACAGAAGCAGCACCTGCCATCAAGGCAACAATTCATGAGCAAACAGATAACTGGATGGTGTCTTAGTCACCAGGAGCATTATTGCTGTGGCTCTGTCAGAACTGTTGCAATTAATGAAACACTTTCCATCACAGGGCAGGATTTAAGAGTTATGCCAGAAGTGTAATCAGAGTGCACCAAATGAGACGCTCTCTCTCTTCCAACTGGTGCAAGAACAATCTGATCACAGCACGTGAAAGAGGAGGAGGAGATGTTTTACTTTGTCTCGCCTCCCATCTTTGACCAAATTAGAAGGCACATGAGAAATGTGTAGATTTATTCCCTGCTATTTTGCAGAATCCCTTGCTTCTAAATGAAGACGACATTTAGGAATATGTGGCAAGAAGGGAAAAGGACCATCACACCAGATGTATCTCTGGCATAATTCTACTACAGTCAATGCCCCCTTCTAGGCACCACTCTTTTGTGCAGAGGGAGCATTCCTTTCCTGGAATAAGTTCCAAGGCCCAGAAATTGCCAGGGTTCAGACAGCGCCTACAGCTAGTGGCATGGAAAGACTGCTGTCCTTATGTTGCTCTTCTCACTCTTTGGCAGCATGAATCCACACTGTAGAAATGCAATACAGGGTCTGGTACCAGATTCTTCCAGGGCAAGTTGGACTAAAGCACCGATCATCCTAGCCGCAATCTGCAGGTCTGGGTCTCCCTGGCCTTACACCTTTGTGCAAGTAATTTTCACCACTGCAAAGGAAAGGCGAGGTCGGGGGGCGGGCTTAAAATGCTACTATTCTAATGTGGCAGCACTTGCCTTTGGAGCAGTGAATATCATGCCACTAATGAAAGGTGTAGGATGAACTGATGATCTGTGTTCCAATGCCTTAGATTTATGGGAAGGTTGGAGTACTAGTGACTTCCTCAGCCTCTCTTCTCCTTGCTACCAGTCTTCCTTTGCCTTGTCCTAAAGGGATGTTAAATTAACTCTTCTTCACCTATCTACTTATTTCTTTCTGCATTAGGATGATGTGACAGTGCCTGAGAAGGAGACATGCAGATGAAGGTCATCCACATAATGCTCTCCTGGGAGAGTCTCATTGAGCAATTTCATGTAGATGCTGGAGAAGAGGCTCTTGAGCGGTTGCTGTTGGGTTGCAAGTGTGAATGGCTGTCTAGCAAACTCCAACACTTCCTCCATTAAAACAACAAAAAGCCAACCAATTGTGATGCCTCGAGGAAATCATACGAATACATTATGTGCAAGAGAATTTTGGAAAGGGTGTAAGGACACTGCAGCTAAAGCTTAGAGAATCAGTGTAGGGGAAAAGATGAGAGAGGGGGGGAAATTCATATGCTTCACTGGAAAAAGGAACAAAATGTAACTGCCAGTGCTGAGCACTTCACTTGTATGTTACATCACTCTGCCATTCACCCTTGTCTATCTTTTGTCTTTTTTCCTCTGGGTTTGAAGAGTTTCTAGCACGTTTTAGGTACTAGTGCACTCTTTATTTCTAGTACTGTAATCTTCTGGAAATTGCACCCCTATTTGACTATTGGTTACTTAAAATAAGTATCATCAGAAAAATTAAGTGACAGATGAGCAAAATATAGACTCTGAATATGCCATCTGCCCCACTTAATTTAAAATAGCCAGTACCCTTTAAAAGAATCATTGCATTTACCCTTTAAGACACTGACTACAATACATTATACACAGAGAATGAGTAGATCTGTTATCTTCCCAGTGACTAATTATAGCTAAGGATACCTTAGAGCACAGAAAGTAGAAATGAGGAAGATAATGGTGAAAGATGGGATGGCTATTCAAGGGTATCTTTCCCTGTCACATGTGCATACAGTAAAACCTCAGGAAGAGGCAGAGGTACAGCAGAACTTTGAATGGCCCTGTGGGGAACAAAGTTCAAAAAATGTCAGTTATACAATAAAGATGCTTTGGTGTGGCCAGATATCAAAGCTTCTAGTTCTCGTCAATTGTATGGCAGGATCAAGCTCTGTCTACACCATCCCTGACAGATGTCTATCTAACCTGTTCTTAAATATCTCCAGAGAGGGAGATTCCACCACCTCCCTTGGCAATTTATTCCAATATTTGACCACCCTGACAGTTAGGAATTTTTTCCTAATGTCCAATCTAAACCTCCCCTGCTGCACTTTAAGCCCATTACTCCTTGTCCTGTCCTCAGAAACCAAGAGGAACAAATTTTCTCCTTCCTCCTTGTGACACCCTTTTAGATATTTGAAAACCGCTATCATGTCCCCCCTTAATCTTCTTTTTTCCAAACTAAACAAGCCCAGTTCATGAAGCCTGGCTTCATAGGTCATGTTCTCTAGACCTTTAATCATTCTTGTTGCTCTTCTCTGTACCCTTTCCAATTTCTCCACATCTTTCTTGAAATGTGGCGCCCAGAACTGGACACAGTACTCCAGCTGAGGCCTAACTAGTGCAGAGTAGAGCGGCAGAATGACTTCACGAGTTTTGCTTACAACACACCTGTTGATACAACCTAGAATCATATTTGCTTTTTTTGCAACAGCATCACACTGTTGACTCATATTCAACTTGTGGTCCACTATGACCCCTAGATCTCTTTCCGCCATGCTCCTTCCTAGACAGTCGCTTCCCATCTTGTATGTATGGAACTGATTGTTCCTTCCTAAGTGGAGCACTTTGCATTTCTCTTTATTAAACCTCATCCTGTTTACCTCTGACCATTTCTCTAACTTGCTAAGGTCATTTTGAATTATGTCCCTCTCCTCCAAAGAAGTTGCAACCCCACCCAGTTTGGTATCATCTGCAAACTTAATAAGCGTACTCTCTATCCCAATATCTACATCATTGATGAAGATATTGAACAGTACGGGTCCCAAAACAGACCCTTGAGGAACTCCACTTGTTATCCCTTTCCAGCAGGATTTAGCACCGTTAACAACCACTCTCTGACTACGGTTATCCAGCCAATTATGCACCCATCTTATTGTGGCCCTATCTAAGTTATATTTGCCTAGTTTATCAATAAGAATATCATGCGAGACTGTATCAAATGCCTTACTAAAGTCTAGGTATATGACATCCACCGCTTCTCCCTTATCCACAAGGCTCGTTATCTTATCAAAGAAAGCTATCAGATTAGTTTGGCATGACTTGTTCTTCACAAACCCATGCTGGCTATTCCCTATCACTTTATTACCTTCCAAGTGTTTGCATATGATTTCCTTAATTACCTGCTCCATTATCTTCCCTGGGACAGACGTTAAACTGACAGGTCTGTAGTTTCCTGGGTTGTAGATAGTATAGATAGTATAGATAGTAGTTGTATAGATAGTAGAACAGGTTTTTTCCTGTAATGTTGAAGACAAAGTTCAGGAAGGAATGACTTTTTAAAATGACTGACTCGAAAGTGCATGAAAACAGGAAGCCTTCCTTCCTTCCTCCAATTTTGCTTAGTCCCTGTGATTTCACCAATGATTGGTTATGCCTAAGCAGAGATATTTTTATATAATACAGTATGTATCCTCCCCTCCCCTCCAAATAGTAGGCTTGCTGGTAAAGCTTTCATGGTCATGTTTGAAAGTAGGACTTTCAGATAAACAAATCCGTGAGCCTGATAATTAGTAGTAGTACATCTGCAGTCACATATTACTATTATAACAGCTGCATGACTCCTGAGTCTAGGACAGCTTGAAAAATGATTCTGAGAAATGCAGCAATACAGCTCCTGGTTTTGCTTTTGGGGATATTCTCCATTGTATGTAACTGGAGTCACATGTGCAGTGAAAAGATTCTTTCCAACAAAAGACATGTATATGAAATATATGTTAATGCAAGCAATAAATCCCGTGCTATCACCTCTCCCTTTGCAAGCGACTGAGGAAGTAAGTAAGATTCAAGTGAGTGAATTATTTTATGTAGGACACCTTGAGAATGTCTGTTTTTGGAATCATCATGATTTCATAAAGAGGAGGAGTCCTTTTAAAACAATAAAATGCATTCAGTATAGACTTTTACTTCAGGCATTAGTGCATTGCATGAACTCCACTTGGTTTTCATTATAAAGTAAAGCATGCGAGACACATAAATTTTGCATGCACATTTTAATGATTTAACTCATAAACCATCTCTGCTGTAGGTTACGATTCCTCTCTTACAACTGGGTCAGCAATAATTGCAAACATATCACATCAAACTAGCTTTTCTCATTTCCTATTTGAACAGAGCTCTTCAGGTTGCACAATACTTAAGCGAATGTTGATGAAAGATGGGCAAAACAGTATAGGATTGTTACAGTTCAGTATAGTATAGAATGGAGGAGGCAAAAGCCTCTCAGTGGGCCGGAACTGGCCTGACTAGGGCTTTGATCTGGCCTGTGAGGCAATTACAGGCCCCACTCCCTAATTACAGGCCCCACGAGGGGAGGGGGGAAGGAGGAGCTCAGCCCTGCCTCTCCGCTGGAGAGGAGGTAGCACTGGGGCTGAGGCTCCTCAACAGGGCTGGCCCCAGAGGTGCTGTTACTGCAGCCACACAATCTGGGACTAGCCCCAGAGGCTGGAGGGGCCGCTACCACAGCGCCTCCAGGGGCAGCCCCAGGCTGCGTGGCCACAGTGCCTCCGTGGCTTGCCCATGGCAGCAATAGCGGCACCTCCAGGGCCAGCACTGGGCCACATGGCCACGGTAACAGTGCCTCTGGGGCTGCCCCCAAGCCACGTAGTCATGGCAGTGGCACCTACAGGGCCGGCCCCAGGCTGCAGCGCCTCTGGGGCAGCCTGTGGCTGCTGGCCCCGGAGGCTGGCCCCAAGCCACTTGGCTGCAGCAGAGGCACCTCCGGTCTATGGGGCGGCCTGTGTCCACGGTTGCGTGGCTGTGGCAGCGGCACCTCTGGCCTCCAGGGTGACCTGTAGCCATGGTGCTTTGGGGCCAGCCCCAGATTGTGGGGCTGTGGCAGGGGTGTTTCTGGGCTCTGGGACTTCATGGCTGCGGCAGCAGGGCCTCTCTCTGGGGCAGCCAGGACAGCGTGGTTGCAGCCGTTGCTACAAGGGGCCACAAAGCCAGGTGAGGTTCCCCCTCATGCCCAGACCCTGCCCACCCCAATCCTGTCACTTCTCTCCCCCACACCCCAAGACCCAGCACCTCCAGCTTGCTCCTACACCTACCCTTGTTTTTGTACCCTCTCTCCTGGCCACAGACTGCACCCTCCCTTGTTCCTGCTCCCTCCACCTGGCCAGATACCCTACTCCCAGCCTGCTTCTGCACCCCAGCTCCCTCCCAGATCCTTCACCCCATTGCTTTCTGGCAGCCCTGTCTCATGTACTCTATCCCTCATTTTTGTCCCCACCCCAGAACCCAAGGGGGTACATAAAATTCACTAACTCCAGAACCCCAGAAAAGTAAATCTGGTCTATGGGAAGCCCTGAACCTCAGTTTCCCTTTCCCTTCTCCTCACCCCTCCCCGCACCAGACGAGTGGGGTATCTCATTTGGGGCCACATCAGTGAGCACTGGGGGTTTACATGAATCCATATGGCAGCAACTCGGTTACCCTTCAGATCCCTCCTCAAAGCCCACTTTAATGGTAATTCATTCTTGAAAGAAAGTTGATAATGGCAAAGCAGGTGGCTGGTAGGGGACTAGTGCCGTCATTGATGTCTCTTACTTATCTCTCTTTCTGCTGTAACAAGGTTCCTTTCAGAATTACTAAAACAACAAAGAGTCCTGTTTGGTACCTTAAAGATTAACAGATTTATTTGGGCATAAGCCTTTGTGGGCAAAGACCTACTTCATCAGATTTCTCACTCCCATGGAGTATATGAATTTTTAGGCTGTCTTTCTTAGCTGTATTTGTTTGCAAATTTTAAAATTGAACTCTGTTATTCTCTGCCCTTACTTCTTGCTCAAATCTGCTTTTGTTATCCAAACTTTGGATCAGATTTCATAAATGCCCCAAGATGGAATCTCCAGCTGGAGTCTCCACAGTTTTCTACAAAAATTGGAAACCTTTAAAGGATACGTCTACACTGGCACGTTCTCACGCAAAAACTCTTTTGCAGAAGAGTTCTTCTGCAAAAAAACTCTTCCAGAAGAGAGTGTCTACACTGTCATGTGCTTTTGCGCAAGAGACATGCTTTTGTGCAAGAGCATCCATGCCAGTGTAGATGCTCTCTTGTGCAAGAAAGCTCTGATGGCCATTTTAAACATAGGGCTTTCTTGTGCAAGAAATTCATGTTGCCTGTCTACACTGGCCTCTTCTGGAAGAGCTCTTGCGCAAGAGGGGGTATTTGAGAGCAGGAGCATCAGAGTTCTTGCACAAGAAGCCCTGATTGTATACATTAGAACATCAGTTTACTTGCACAAGAACACACGGCCAATATAGACAGGCAGCAAGTTTTTGTGCAAGAGCAGCTGCTTTTGTGCAAGATCGCACCAGTGTAGGCACAGCCTTATAGT